CTAAAGAACAAGGAGGTCTCGACAGTACTATGAAAGAACGGAGAGATAAAACTGCAGTTGCCCACCGTCGTCGTAAAAAGAAATATTACTTACATTCACTAATATATTACATGTAGAAATAGCGCTAAACTCAGGCACACGTAAGGTAGTATGCAAAAGTATCATTGCACTACCTTAGAAGTACTGAAAGACATTTTCATATGCGCGATGCTCTTTGCCTGAGAGAAGAAATCTGCAAATTTGCCGTAAAGGGAAGCCAGTGAACTCCGGGCGCAGGCGCGATGCAACCCGCCACAAGGAGTTGCGGAGCTCTGAGCATCTCCTCAGCGCAAACAGCGCGCAGGCACAGCTCTCGCCCACGCACGTAAACTCATGTGATGCGCGTGCACAATCCCCCACTTCCTTCCTCATGTTTTTCTTGTTACTTTCTCTCGCACATTTCACACGTAGTATAGAGAAAATTATTTAATGCTTCAGCAAAAAAACAAACTTTTTTTTCCACGAAAAAGTTATTATTGTGGGACATTGGTTTCGGAAAAGTGGATAATTTTTGTTTATTTACGTAGTAAATTACTTCGTCTAACGCCTTACGTAGTTGTAATCCACGCTTTTTGAGTCCGGAAAAGTGTAAAATTTGTTTATGGCAGAACGTCCGTCTACTGTCCGTCCATTTATCTATCTCTCCATCTTTCCGTGAACACCGCTAGCGACTAAACCGTAAGCAGGATTTGCACCAAAATAGATGTAAACCGTTCGATCTGTCTAATTCTTTTCAATTTGAAACGGATATTTTTTTTTTGGGGGGGGGGTACTTTACATTAAACCTTTAAGATCATTTTTAATAATTTTTCAAGAACGACTCGATATTGTTCTTAAGTTTTTTATCGAATAGTGCGAAGTACGCTGAAAAATGGCGCTACTCCGAGACCCTTGACCACATTGATTTGTTGAAAATTGCAAATAACTTGAGAATATACGTGTTTTTATTGTACCATTAGTTCTATATATTCTTTATTCCTCTTCTTCTCCTCTTCTTCTTCTTTTTCCTTTCGTCATCCCCACTTAGCTCTTCCTCTCCTCCTCTTTCCATTCTATCTAATATTCCACCTCCTCGTTTCACGTCTTGATGCTTCACCAGATCGCCAACCGCTCTTCAAAATCATTACTATATACATTCATTTTGCTCCTCTCATTAATATAGTTTTTGTATCAAAATTCAAAGCAAAGTTATGAAAAGGGATTTTAAAAAAATCGGAATTAATATTATTCGTGTTCACCGTATATCACAATGATGCGACAAATAAATCTCAAAATCCGTCACATTCATAAACACAATAGGAAAATATTACTTAATAATATACTTCCCACTTATGAACATAATAATCCAAATATTACAAGTACTTTCTAGAATTTTAATTGGCTTTTATTTCTTTTGAAAATCGTAACTTTACTTTCATAATAGAAGTTAATTATTTTGTTTCTCTCTTAACGTAACATAACGTAACCCTGCCCACATTTGTTTTTGTAAATCCATTATGCCCATTCAGTGTTACAAAATCCCTTTGGCTCAATCACCGAAGAAGGTAAGCTTTTATATACCTATTGCCTCCACCATCTGCTCTTCCTCAGTGTCCTTCCATTCCCACAAAGCAAAATTTTATATTGCATCTCAATTATCTCTGCCACTATCACATTCGTCATGGAAGTCCAAAATTTTTTTTCATTTATACCTACAACAATTAATACCTACATCCATCACTTGTACTAGAATAGATTTGCAACAATAACTGAAACATAATCTTAACTTTGAATATGGGGTATTGGGTTTAATTACATTTTATAAATGTAGAGTGACTTGTTTAAAACTTATTTACTTTATAAATATTTAATTATGTACAACATTTTGCGTTATTTTTCATCCTTTTTCATTAAATTAAATTAGTTGTGTAAGGATTTCATTCATCTGACAGAATAGATCTGATCGCCTATGTAGCTGCGGCACGCACGCCGGCAATATTTCGTTCTAAATCTCACATCCACATATTCTCAGGTCTGTAGTAACTTCACTACCTACGTGGTGGCGCTTGCAGTCACCGCATTGGTACATGCGAGTTCACAATATATGGTTTCCCAGCTGCCGCCACTCCACTGTTACTACTCCCAATATGACTCCAACGTTAGCAATTTGCTACGAGTTCCAACCTCTCTTTAAGGTCAAATCATAAAAATGACTACTTGGATGTGATTCAGTCGCTGCAGATCCCGATCATGAATAAAAGAGACGATAATGAGATTGCCTGACAGAGAAGCACAAAAACCCTCAGATCCTTGGATAGATATCATGCTCGCCTAAAGTATGCAAATTTGATCAGTATGTAAAAGGAAAAAATAGTGAGGAAAAATTCACTAAACTCAAAAGCAAGGAAATAATATATCATTGGCTGACCGATCAAAATGTAAGTCAAAATAGAAACGATCTTCCCTACTTGTTGGTGCTATAATTACATATTTTTCATATGAACACGTAAAATTCATTCGTATGTTTCTGTACAATTTTCTATCTGTATCAGATTTGCAATAACGGAAGTCTAAAAGTTCATTAAAATTTGATTCCATTACAGCATCTTTGATAAAAATTAAGTTTTTTAAATCAGGACAGCTCGGTTATATCAATCTAAGCGGAAAATCTCTTCAGAAATACACAATAGTCTTTTAAATCTCACACGAATTGGTACAAAGAAAGAAATATCCATTCGCGTGTCGTGTATTGCGTCCAAAAGCCTGGCTTAAAAAAGTCCTTCCGCGCGCCGCTTTGCCCATTCTCCGCTGCAGTGCCGGGTTCGATCCACGCCTCCACCCCCGTACACCGCTCGCGCGGCCGGCAGCGGCCCTGGCTTCGCCGTCATTTTTGTAATAGATGCGTCGCGCTTGTTCTAAAATGCAAATTGGACGCGCCTCGCCGGGCCGGCGGCAGCGGCGGTAGCCGGCGCTCTCTCCGTCGCGCCGCGCCGTCGGAGGTTAACGTCGGCGATATCAGCGGAATTCCGCGGCGGGGGGAGGCGAACGAGCGCGACGGCCTCGGCAGGGAGGTTTCGCCGCTCGAACTGCCTCCGTCTCCGCGACGGCGCTTCCGCGCGCGGCTTCGCCCGCAGCCTCTCAGCCGCCGTTCCCTTTCCCTGCCTTTCGCCACGACGCGGCTTCACTGCTGCTGACTGGGCTGCGCATTTGGTACTCAGTCGCTCTCGTTGTACACGCTGCTTTTAACCCATCTCTCCAATCGTTTCTCTCGTTTCACTCGTCCACTTCTCCACTCGACCACCTCTCCACTCGTCCACCTCCACTCATCCACCTCCACTCGTCCACCTCCACTCGTCCACCTCCACTCGTCCACCTCCACTCGTCCACCTCCACTCGTCCACCTCTCCACACGTCCACCTCTTCACTCGTCCACCTCTCCACTCGTTCCACCTCTCCACTCGTTCCACCTCTCCATTTGTCGACTCATAACATGTCCATCTCCTCGCCTAGAGTGATTGGCTTCATTCATTCTAATCGTTTTTCTCCTCAATTCCTTTTCAGTCTTCCCCCTTTGTTTCGAGATCTAGATGTTGTGTTTTGCTGAATTACCCTAACTTACCTCTGCTTTTGTGACTTCCACGATTCGTTACAATCTCAACAGCAAATTTTCTTTCCTTTTCCGAAAGTTCAGCACATTTACGGCAAAATATTCACATCGGACATCATTGATCACACTGAATCGATACGACGATCGCTCTCCGTTATTGCCGCTCTCTGCACAAACCCCGTTCTTCAATAGTTCACGAGACGATCGCTCTGTACTTTTGGTTTTTGGATAACTGCCATTCGTTTCAAGAACCTATCCAACTACTCACCATATTCTACATACAATTACATTTCTTAATCAAATCGCTTTTCCACATATTCTACATTTAGCATCATCTTCGCTCACTTTCCAACATCAACTTCCCAAATTCCTCTCTGTGTTTTCATCATCCAAAACATCCTAACGAAAGTATCTTACTGGAATAGCCATATAATCTTCTTTTATCGTATACTCATTTTCATGTCTCCCTCTTTCCTTTGCTTTTATCCTTTTTACTTTTTATCTTCCTTTGCTCCTTACTGTCTCACTCTGTCTCTCCTCTCCTTTTCTCTCTCTCTCTCTCTCTCTCTTTCTCTCTCTTTCTCTCTCTCTTTCTCTCTCTCTTTCTCTCTCTC